TTTGAAATTTTGTGGGGCGTACAAAACAGAGGCGATTCCATACCTCAATCCCTGATTCCAACAGAGATCTAAATATCAAATTTCAGAATTTTAGCTCTATCCCTTCTCCCCATACACAATTTAGTACCCCTTAGTATTTTTCGAACAATTATAGTATACATTTCAAAAAACCACCTCCATATCTCAATTTCAGATACCAACTGAGAACTCAATATGAAATTGAAGAATTCCTGCCTTATCCCTTCAACCAATACCAAATTTAGTACTTTCCGTACAAATGTAGGACGCATTTCCAAACCACCGACAAAAACTTATACCATTAGTAACCTTAATATCAAACTTCTAAATTGTATCTCTATCACATCACTCAATACTAAATATAGTACCATTCAGTACTTTTCGTACAATTATAGCACAAATTTCCAAAATCATCTCCATATGTCCAGGTTACACATGAACATCGACCCAAAAACATATCTCAGATTTCAAGCAGTATCTATTTACACAATACCAAATTGTACCAAGTATAGTACTATTTAGTACTTTTCGTGCACTTGTAGTACACATTTCCAAATGCACCGTTATGTCCACTTCAAGAATTATCGTGCACTCCAGCCAGGCGAATAGACAGACATTTTTGCCATATCAAATTATGTACACACTTTGTAGCCATATGTGCTATAAATACAAAGATTGCAATGCAATATTCCAAAGTTCTTGCTCTTATCGATCAGTTCAGTAACAATGTTGCACCATCGAGTACTATCAGAATATGAATTTCCGAATAAATTTTGACTTTTATTATTTCATTTCGCCATATCTCGGAAATATTAATCATATCCTGGTACAAAGAAATAAACTATTTTGTATGCAAAACAACTTAGTACATCGCAATATTTGTGCCAAGTTTAGATCGAGTACGGAGATGGGCAATATGGGTCCAACTCCATGAAGTACCTCCCTCACAAAAATTCAATATTTTCTGTAAATACATTTGTGTATAGTCTCATATGAAAGGGAGAAAGTAGTCGATGCAGTCCACACCTGGCACGTAGGTATGATTATATCAGACTTAGGTCAGATGAGAAATATACAATGTAGGTCCACTCCAACGGTACCTCCCCCACAAAGTATCAACATTTTGAATCAAAAAGTCAATAGGCATTTAAATACGGATACATTGGAAAGTAAGTTTGATATATGAAGGTGGTTTTGGAATTGTGTACTACAACTGCACCTAAATTAGTAAATGGTACTACATTTCGTACAATTTGGTATTCGGTGAGAATATGGGGCTTGAAATCTAAAATTTGTTATTAGGGTCACTGTTTAGGTGTAGCTTGGACATATGGAGGCGATTTCAGAAATGTGTGCAATAATTGTACGATAAGTATTAAATGGTACTAAATTTGGTCTGGGTTGAAGAAATAGAGATAAAATTCGAAATTTTGATATTTAGATTATTGATGGTATATATTTTTGAGATTTGGCAGTGGTTTAGAAAATAATTGGTATTAAATTTGGTATTGGGTGAAGGATAAAGCTGAAACCATGAAACTTAAAGTTGTGATAACTGTTAGTGTCTAGGTTTGAGATATAGAAAAGTTTTGCAAATGCATGCTAATGTTATACGAAAAGTACTAAATGTTACTAAATTTGATATTGAATGAAGGAATAGAGCTGAAATCCAGAGATTTGACCTTGAGGTCTCCGCTGGTATTTGGTATTCAGATATGGTCTTGGAAAAGTATACATTAGTTTAGGAAAAGTACTACATTTGATATTGGGTGAAGGGACAGAGCAGAAATTTGATATTGATAGCACTGTTGGTGTCTGTGGTTAAGATATATAGGAGGTTTTGGACATATTTAATATAATTGTTCGAAAAGTACTAAGTTTGGTATTGGGTGAAAGGAGATAATTGTACTAAATGGTACAAAATTTTATAATAGGGGAAATTACAGAGCTGAATTAGAAATTAGAGCTATAGCTATATCTGAACCGATTTTCACCAAATATGATGTACTTGCTTCTATGCTGAAAATTAAAGAGAATCGAGAGCTTATTTCTCATTTTCTGAGAGATATAAGTTTTCAAAATTTTTACTCGTTCTGGTGGAGGTGCCAGAAGGAGTGATCCGATATATTTCGTCTTCATACCTGATCGTGTGTTGGTGAAAATGTAGGAATGTGTCATATTTGAAAAGTATGGAAAACGGTCAAAATGTTGACCCGTTGTGGGGGAGGTACCTGAAGGAGTGGTTCGTACTATTTTGTTCTTGACACAAGATCTTGTGTTGGTAAAAGAATTGGTATGTGTAAAATTTGAAGGCAATGGATGTCCTCTTTCATTTTGACCCTTTGTTGCGGAGGTATCTGTAGGAGAGTATCGGTATCTCCCATCTCCACATAAGATCTTGTGTTGATAAAAATACTGAGATGTGGACTCTTATTTAACATTTTTACCAGTTATTTGACCCACTTGTTTTAGTGGGCCGATATATTCCATTTCCGTACGTGTTCTATAAGGTACATTATTGTTATTTTATTCACATTACTATTATATTTATTTTCCGGCGTGATGTATTTTTGTGGCGGAGATACCAAAATGAGTAGACCGATATTGCTTATCTCCGAACTCGATCCAAGTTTGGCAATTACGATGTTCCAAGTTTGGACCAAATCGGATACACCCTTCGAGCAGCAGCCAGACAGACACATGGACGGACGGACACCCCTAGATCGACTCCAATTGTCCTCAAAGAGATTTGGTCCAATGAGAACGATTAGACACGTATTTGCCATATCAACTGATATATACACTCTGTTTCCATTTGGCTGATGGTATAATAATAAGCCTATTCCAGCGGTCTTCTTCAAAATAGCTACAGAGTTGCTTCACATGGCCGAAAGTGGTGAAATCCCGAATTTGGTATTCTCCGATGAGAAAACATATGTTGGTCAGCAGTTTGTAAACAAACAAAACGATCATGTTTATTTGCCAAACAGTTCAGCGGAAAATTCCAAAAAACAAAAAATTCCAAAAGTGACCAATTCGAACAAATCTAAACTTATTCTAAAATTTGATGATATTTCCGACATTTGCTGCTTTTATTCACTAACATTAAAAAAATTTAAAAGTTATGGCGTTTGACTTTGTTGCAGTTTTTATACCCTCCACCATGGGTAGGAGGGTATATTAACTTTGTCATTCCGTTTGTAACACCTCTAAATATTCGTCGTAGACCCCATAAAGTATATATATTCATAATCAGCATAAAATTCTAAGACGATTTAGCGATGTCCGTCTGTCTGTCCGTCTGTCTGTCTGTCTGTCTGTCTGTCCGTCTGTCTGTTGAAATCACGATAGAGCCCACATTATTTGACGTAGACCTTTGAAATTTGGCACAAGTGTGTGTATTGTCCCTAGGATAGTTGGTATTGGAAATGGGATATATCGGTCCACGTTTTGGTATAGCCCCCATATAACGGTACCTCCCGATATTCGGTATTTTGATTATTTTTGCCACATTTTTCCACGGATTTGTCTAAAAATTGACCTCTGTAAGTCGTAATGGATTCTAGCTCCAGTGGGGTAACATTATATGTATAGGTCCACGTTTTCATGTAGCCCCCATATAACGGTACCTCCCGTTATTCGGTTTTTTGATGATTTTAGCGACATTATTTAAAGGAATCGTTCCAAATTTGGTGTTTGAAGTTCGTAATACATACTGCAGCATAAAAAAGAAAATGGGCCATGTAGGTTCACGTCTTCGTATAGCCCCCATATAACGGTACCCCCCGATATTCGGTATTTTGATGATTTTAGCGACATTATTTAACGGAATCGTTCCAAATTTGGTGCTTGAAGTTCGTAATACATACTGCAGCATAAAACAGAAAATGGGCCATGTAGGTCCCCGCCTTCGTATAGCCACCATATACCGTACCTCCCGATATTCGGTATTTTGATGATTTTAGCGGCATTATTTACCGGGATTGTTTTAAATTTCGCATGTGAAGTTCGTAATGGATACTTCAGCCCATCCCAGAAAATTGTCTGTGCAGGTCCACGTCATCGTATGGCCCCCATATAACGGTACCCCCTACATTCAGTATTTTGATGATTTTAGCTATATTTTAAACAGATTTTTCTTCAAGTTTCGCATTTAAATATTGTAATAACTTATGACAAAATTTGACTATGCAGGTCCACGTCGTCGTATAGCCATTCGGCATTTTTAAGATTTTAACAGATTTTTTTTTTTGAAAATTGCCAAATTTGTACCAAATGGTGGAGGGTATTAAAAGTTCGGCCCGGCCGAACTTACAGTTTTTTTACTTGTTTTTATATCACCCTAAACATACGATCATCGCTGAATCTACTTAGAATTTTACTTTGTAGGGTCTATCTTGAGAATTTCGAGTTATGGTGGGAATTATATATTTTTCTAGTATAGATCATTGAGTTGGAAAATGCCTCTGAAACCTATAAAATACATCCAATTTGGGAGGTACGGTTACATCGTGCATTCAAGTAATCCTATTAATTTTATTTTTTGCGAAGGCAGAGCTTACCTTCCCATGACTTCAAATGTCAAATTTCTTCTGAATCAGTTGGTAATTGACAAAATACTGCTATAAACTCAACTTGAAGAGAACTTGTGTATGGAACACTTAAGCATTGTATCAATGAATGTCTGGTATCTACAGCAAGTGCCTTATCAAAGCTGTAGAGTGCCGAGAGTAATGTACTTTACAGGTGAGTAAGAATCTATGCATGTTGCTGTCATTGTTTATTCTCCGCATGCCATTGGAAGCCCTATTGACACTTCTTTTCGGTGTGTTTGTATTAGAAATGATATTTGAGATATCAGCCGTTGATATTGACAATGAAATAAGACCGTATAGAGAGAGTGAGAGCGAGTCAGTGAGTGTAGAGAGAGATGGGGTTTGGCGGGTGGTAGATATTATTTATTAATATTTATGACTGGGCCAGGTTGGTAAGAACTTTTCAATTGTCCGGAGGGTTATTCGCAAAAAAGACGGCAAACAATATAAACGTGTTTTGGAGTAAAGAAACAGAAACCCCGAACGTTTTCGTGTTAAAAAAGAAAGTAACAAGAAATAAATGATAAGAACAGCGCCATCGTCGTGTTAATAATAAAATTTTGTAACAAAATAATATTACAAGTGCCAAAACTAAACAAAAAAAAAAAAAAAAAAAAAATAAAAAAATAAGTGGGGAATATTAAACCGAAAATTATTATTATAAAATAGTTATAAAAAAAAATAATTATTATTAAATAATAAAATAAATACTCAACGAAAAATAAGTGCTAACTTGCCAAAATAGTTATGCCAACATAATTTTAATAACACAAATCCAAGTTGAAATACACGTAGAAAATAGAAAACCATCACCAATAATGGCGGATTTTAAAAGTGATCATGTGAGTGCATTTTCAAACTTTCCTTTTTTTGCAGAAAAAAAATCAAGTGATTTTTTTAAATAGTAATAAACTTTCATAAAACACTCCACCCGTTAGTGATGTGGCGTTTATAGTTATTGATTATTTGTGTTGTTCCTTATCAACAACATTTTCCGCTGTTTTGTGATAAAAAAAACAATATTTTTTATAACCAAAAGAAAAAATCGTCTCTCATTCTCTCGGCTGTGAGAAATCGAAACTTCAACTAAACACATTGATTACTCAATGGAATGTTGACTAATGCTAACATTAAGGTGGCCAAGTTAAAACACTGTTATGATGAAAGTAACCTTTGATATTGAGGGTGTTTACAAAAGTGACATGCAATTGTTTATCATTGTGGGTGATTAATATTCTACAACGTCTTTTGGTACAACATTTTTCGGAAAAAAACATAGGTGGCAACAAAATATGTTATGGCAAAAAAATATGAAGCTTTATTTGTGACGTGAATACATCAGATTAAACAAAAATTTGAGCTCTTGTGAGGAGGTACCAGAAGGAGTGGTCCGATATATCTTCCATCTTCCTACCAGATCTTGTGTTGGTAGAAATGTATATCCTCAGTTATATGGCTAGAGAGAGTATATATCATTTGAGTATACATCAACGTGCCTCATCGAAATAACGGTTATCGACCCTAGGTCTCTGGACCAAATCCGTTTCAGGACATTTTGAGTCGATCTAGCGATGTCTGTCCGACTGCCTGTCTGACTGGTGGAGTATCAAATCAGTTTCAATTTTGGAACATCGTAATATTATTATCAAATTTAGATCGAGTTCGGAGATGAACAATATCGGTCCACTCATTCTGGTACCACCCCTAAAGAAGGTCGCAATTTCCGATTTTGCTCCAACTTGGCAAATCCTAAAATTTGCATGAATATTAGGAAAGGTGCGAAAATGGACAATATTGTACCTCCCCCATAAAGGGTCAAAATGTTGAATAATTACAACTATAATAACATGCGATATAAGAGTCCGACCATCTTTAAATAACACACATCACAATATCTTTATTAAACCAAATTCTGGTGGGAAGATGGGAAATATCTGTCCACTCCTTCTGGTACCTCCCCCACAAAGGGACAAAATTTTTAATATCCACAAAGGTCATAAAACGCGAAATTAACATCCGATTCCATTCAAACTAATCGCATCTCAATAATTTCATCAATAACAAAACTGTTATAAAAATGGTGGGTATTGGACCATTTCTTCTGGTACCTCCCCCAGACAGGGTCAACATTTAAAATAATCAAAACGAGCGTAACATTCGAAATATGCAGCCGGTTAACTTCAAATATCACACATCCAATTATTTCTACTAACACAAGATTTGGTGTGATGGTGGGGTATACTGGCGAGCTCCTTCTTGTACCTCCCCCACAAAGGATTCAAAATGTTTAACAGAAAAACGCTCACAAAACTAGAAATAAGCGCCCAGCTCTCTTCAAATTTGACACATCCAAACATTTTAGCTAAAGCAAGACATGTTGTGAGGATTATATAGATCTTCCAACCCCTTCTGGTACCTCACCCACAAAGGGTCACAATTTTCAATACTTTTATCTGTCATAACATGCGAAACAAGTCAGAGATTCTTTACAACTTGCTACATCTGAATATTTCTCTAAACCAGAAACTTCAGATGAATAAGAAATTTATCGGAATTTATGATTTCGCATAAAATTGGATATAAATGTTCGATTTTCTTGTAATATTGCCCATACCAATATTTATACCCTACAACACATAGTGGTAAGGGTAAGGCCCTCACATGCGTAATATGCACTCCACAACAATTTCCTTTGGTACCAGATATTACATACAGCTCTGATTTGGATATAGCTCCCATATATATCTTCAACCAATTTCGGGTTAATTGTACACCAAATGACCAATATCAGCCCAAATTAACTGAATTTTTGCACTTCCGACGGAATTCAGCCTAAAAGCTGGCGCATAAGATTTTGGTAAAAATCTGTTCAGATACAGCTATAGCTCACATATATATGTTTCATCCGATTTGGTGTTAAAGTCCCTCATACGCGCAATATGCCCTCCACAACAATGATATTTGATACCGGACATCAGATACAGCTCGAAAATACCTCTGCAAAATTTTATCGAGATCGGCTAAGATTTTTATACACCTTCGATATACATCTTCATCCAATTTTACGGCTATTGTCCACCACATATGTCATATCAGCCCATATTGGATAGATATTTTCATAGTCAACCTAATTTTTTCATCGGGTCAATCCCGGTCCGGTATATCTAAAATCAAATATATCATATAAAGTGAAGGATATATATATATATATATATATATATATATATATATATATATATATATATATATATAAATATATAATATCTAACTCCGTAATTTCGATTAAGCACGTTTTGCTCATATCAAATGACCTATACCACCATGGCTGAGGGTGTAATGAGTGACGGACTGACTAATTCATCCAGGTCCAGCCGAAAAGGCTGAGACTAGACTTTTGAAATTTTGCATGTAGGTGAATATTGGTGTGTAGCGTTGAGATATTGCTGTGTTTTTGGAGATGTACTAAAAGTACCAAAAAGCTTTAAATTGCGTACCTTTTTGTATTTTGTGCATGGATGGAGCTAAAATGTTTGACATAAAATGAAGTTTGGGAAGTAGTATTGATATAAGTAGATGTTTTAAGAAATGCAACCTAATTTAATAGTTCAATTTGATTTTGGCTGAAAGAATTGATTTGGAAACTTAAAATGTTGGTATTTTATGTCTCTTTTGGAGAAGGGTTAAGAGCCTACGAAAAGCACTAAATGTTACTAAAATTTGGTATTGCGTGAACGGATACTGCTGGAAACCTCAAATTTGATATTAGAATCAATGTGAGCGAGTGGGGTTGGTTTTGGAAATACATACTAAAAAGTACTTAATGGTACTAAATTTGGTATTTGGGTAAAAGATTGAGTAGAAAGTCTAAATTTTTGGTATTAGGATTACATTTTGTGCATACTGTCAGATTGTAAAAAAGTAGGAAAAGTACTAAATAGTATTAATTTTGGTATTTGTAGAAGGAATGTAGTGAAATTTGGTGTGAGCGTCTTTCATGTAGTGTAGGATAGACAAACTAAAGGGTTTTTTGTATCTAAATTCTAACCATACGTGCCATACGGTGCCATTTGGAATTATGTGGACGGATTGTGGTAAAATCTTGAAATTCGGTATGAGTATCAATTCTAGGTGAACGGAAGAAGATGGTTACATTAAATGTTTGTATTAGGGTCCCTATTGGTGGTAGGTTTGTGATAAAGATGTGGTTTTGGAAATGTGTACTACAACTCCATGAAAAGTATTAAATAGTACTATATTTGGTGCAATTTTGCATTGGATGAAGAGATAGTGCTTGAAATCTGAAATTTGATATTAGGGTCGGTGCTGCTGGAGGTGGTTTTGGAAAAATTTGGAGGTGGTTACGGAAATATGTACTATAATTGTACGAAAATACCAAATAAACAAAATTTTGATAAAATTCTCTATTTTGATATTTAGGATGGTATCTGTGTTTTAATTTTGGCGGTGGTTTGGAAATGCATCCTATGTTTGTACGAAAAGTACTAAATGATACTAAATTGGTTGATGGGTGAAGTGATAGGACTGGAATCCTCAAATTTGATATTGATTTGAAGCTTATGTTGGTATATGTTGAAATATGAAGGTGGTTTGGAACGGACAGATCTGAAATTCTAAAATGTGTTATCGTGGTCACCGATGGTTTCTAGGGATTGCATATGGAAACGTTGAACTAGATTTGGGCAAAAATTTGGATGTGGTTCCATTGTGCAAAGGGTTTACCAGTATTCACCTCTGTTAGCTTTAAAATTAAAGATTTTGAAGACTTTTTGGAAGCAACGCTAAACATTTTCCTATTTGAAGTTTTTATAAAATCTTTTTGTCTAACTGAACAAATTGTGTTTTTGGGTACAAAATCCCTAACATGACTTGTTGGAAGGAATCTAGAATTTTACTAACAGGTTCATATATTTCTGAGGTACATCTAAATCTGTACGGATTTTGATGAGATTTCGCAGATGTATTTCAAGAGTGTATATTATATCACAACCGCACTTCTAAACATTTCCTCTTTCCTCTTCTATTGAGTTTACGATCTCGTCACCTGGGTAAAAAAATGTTTTTGTCATAGAAGTTATTTTTAAAATAACTTCTTGGGAGAATAACCCAGACTCTTTCCGAAACCTAGGTATTCCCTACCTTACCCCCTGGTAAACATTACCATCGTTCTCCACAAATAAACAAACGTTGTTTTTATAAAAACAACAATAATAGGATTAAGCCTGACCATTTTGCAACAACAAAATACTATGGTATCCCGAACAAACAAAGCCAACACTGTTCTTTTTCTACATGTATATGATATTTATAACTTTTCTACAGTCGAAAACTAATGAAAAATTTCGTTATTATATGGTCCCTTCCGCTTTCCACGACATTGGTTCAATAAAACCATTGTTATCATGTTTAAACTTTTAATTAGCAATCAATTAAGTGCGTCAGACCCCAATGGTTTTATACTTTCTTAATGCTTATGTACACAAATTTCCACGAACCAAGCAAAGATATTAAGAAATTCACAAAAAAAAAAATGAATAAAATTCGATAGCAGCTGTCATAAATTTTTCGATAAGAAATAGCTTTAGAATGCAAGGTTGCTAAGAGAAATGCGCAAAGTATTGTTGTTTCGCTGAAAACATGGCAAAGGGCGATTTCATTTGCACTGCCTAAAGAACAACATGGAATGTAATACCATTTTTAGAGAGTGGGCCAATATTACCCCCATTTTGAACCAAATCAGGAACTGAAGTCTTCAAAGCTTTTAAAAACTGTCTGAGAACTATCCATGTTTGATAAATTGGACTAAACTCTTTAAAATATGCCAAATCGCATCAGTTAAGCGCTAGTACCCTACGCGATTTGTTAAGTGGCGATGATTCACCTTTAACTGGCAAGTAATGAATCGGTCAATCAACAATCAATCAACTATTATTTAACTCTTTATTTGTCTATTCTACAAATCTCTCCCTTTTTGACTATCTTTTCCCCGAGTTTAAATAGATAGCTCTCCCAGCGACACATGTTCATCAACCTGTTTTTTGCAAATTAACCAAAAAATCAATTTTCTATTTTGCCATAATCATGATGAAGTCATCACCATCAGTGTGAAATAATGATAATCACAGTAGATATAGAAATTATCACATAATTTTCGAGCAAATAACAAAAACAAGGGCACAACAAATGCTTTGATCCTAAACCACGTAGTCAAACGATTACGCTTCACCTATAAATTTTATTATTATTTACTTAGATTCCAAAGTCATAAATCAGAAGATAATAAAACAGTTTGGCCTGAACACGAAAAAAATTAAAAAAAAAACTCAAACTTTTTTTGAGGGTTTCATTGATAACCATTACCTGCATGTCTATAACATAATCTTATCTGAGGTGGGAAGAACGGCCCAACATACATATCAGCCGGTGATAACGATATGAAAAAGAATACCGTTGTCTGTCGCACTGTCGCACGAATGGATGGGTAATTATGTTATCAATGTTAGTGCTTGACAAAAAAAAAAAACAGATAACAAAAATCCTTCACCTCCAAAGCAAAATAAAACATTTTAACATAATAATAAAAAAATAAAAAATATTATAATGTTGTTAGACATAGAAATCAACACGTTTTAACTTGGAAAATTTATCACTAAAAATTCCAAAGGTTTTATAAAACAAATAAAACATTCCCGAATTTTCTTGATATTTTAATGTGTGTGAATTAGTACTGACATCATAAAAATAATATCAATGAACATTTAGAAGACATTTAAGGAAGTTCGGCAGGTCTTAGGCATGTCGGATTATTTTTGATTTGCTTAAGAGGACAAGTAAAAAAGCTGTAAGTCGGCCTTGCCGAACTTTGAATACCCTCCACCATTTGGAAAGAATTTGGTAATTTTCAGAAAAAAAAAATCCGTTAAAAATTCTGTTAAAATCTTAAAAATACCAAATGTAGCCTTAATATTAGGGTCTATACGACGACGAAACGGACCTTCATAGGCAAATTTTTGTCGGAACGGAACAATATTCAAATACGAATCTTGAAAAAAAAAATAAATTCGGTGAATAATGTAGTAGAATCATCAAAATACCGCATATAGGGAGCTATACCGAAACACTCACCTGCACAGACAATTTTCTGCATAGGCTGTAGTATCTATTACGAACTTCAAATACCAAATTTGAAACAATTTCAGTGAATAATGTCGCTAAAATCATCAAGATACCGAATATTGGGAGCTACCGTTATATAGGGGCTATACGAAGACGTGGACATGCACAGACAATTTGCTGTCATAGGCTGTAGTATCTATTACGAACTTCAAATACCAAATTTAAAACAGTTCCGGTGAATAATGTCGCTAAAATCTAAAATTATCAACCTACTTCGTTTCGTTCGGAAGCTACTGTGATTTCCAAAGATGGACAGCCGACAGACATCGCTAGGTCGACATATAATTTTTTGATGATCAAGTATAATTATATTTTATCGGGTCTATAATTTATATTTCGAGACGTTACAAACGGAATGACAAACTTAATATACGGTCCATACTATGGTGGTGGGTATAAAAGCACACGGAACACCTATATCTAGATACAGGATGAGATAAAAAAAACTGCAACAAAGTCAAACGCCATAATTTTACACTTTTTTTTTAAATTTTATTCAATGAAAGCAAAAAAATGTCGGAAATAGCATCAAATTTTAGAATAACTTTAGATTTGTTCAATTTGGTCACCTTTGACACGAATTATGGCCTTCAAACGGTCAATAATACCGTCACACGGTGCCCGAATGTTGCTCTGCGTTCCGAATGGAATTTTAGGATATGTTCAGCTCACGAGCCATTTTTCGGCCACTGTGACGCGGGTTTCGATCAAGTCGCTTCTTTACTTTTCGTTGTTGCTGTTTACTTCATTCCATTTCCTTGACGTCGGGCTACGCTACCAGTGTCATGGTAACGAGCGATTGTAAGATGGCTATAGCTTTATCTGAACCAAATTTAATGTACTTTCTTCTAGACTGAATTCGGTGGTATATGCCAAAATTCAGGTCATTTGGAGTGACTATTTGGTGCGCAATTAACCCCAAATCAAATAATACATATGTATGGGAGCTATAGCTATATCTGAACCGATTTACACCAAATATGAAGTTCTGATTTCTAGGATGAAATTCAGTTCTCGTGGAGTGCATATTACGCACCCCAAATGGTATGAAATATATATATGGGATCTGTAGCTATATCTGAACCAATTTGCCAAATTAAGTGTACTTGCTTTTAGACTGAATTTGGTGGGATGTATCAAAATTCAGTTCATTTGGATTATTATTGGCTATTTGGTACATAATTAACACGTCCTTGGGCCAAAGAAGTATTGTTTGGAAATTTCATTTCAATCGGATAATAAATGAGATCTGCATTTTGTTCACAGAAATACATTGATAGACGGATGGACTGACACGATTAAGCTACTCAGAAACCAATGCACAAAGACATAATGCCTTTACCACTATGTGGTGTAGGGTATTAAAAGCGCAGGGAATACATATATCTAGAAATACTCTTTATTGTCGAAAAGTCTGTCGGTTTTGATAAATATTTTTATAAGCATGATTTGTTTGACAGATAATTGATAAGAAGTCATATATAAGGTCAATTTCAAAAATCTGGTGGGCCGACTATATGATTCCCTATACCACTTCTTATATTGGGATTTTATGTGAAGTAGATCATACCAACTAGGAACCTTTATCGATTAGCTTTCGTTCAGTTATAATTTGAAAAAAAAAAAAAACGAAAAATATGTATAAGAGCTATAGAACAGAGTTTTACCAAATGTCGAATTTGCTTCCAATTGCATTTGCAGAAATCCATCCAATTTGTGTTGATATTACATATTTGGTGCACAATAACTATAAAATCGGATGAAGATGTATATGGAAACTATATCCAAAGCTGAGCCGATCTAGATATAATATCATTACGATTGTGACGGACTGAAACACTAATATACATATAAATATATAAGAGATAAAGCTATATCTTAACCCATTTAATCCAAGTTGAAAGCCTTGCCCGGTATAGTAACATGGGGTATCGTTAAATGGGACCAATGTTAGCCATTTTTCAAAATAGAGAGTTTTTATTCACTAAGAACGCAAACTATTTCCTCATAGTAAATTTAGTTTTAGGCAGGAAGTCTGTATATTTCTGAGGTTGTCGCTCCTATCTTAAAATATATTTTATACCTATGCGCATTTTGTCTGCGAATAGCAACGAAATGAGCCCATAGTTATTCTTGATGATCTCCAAAGATTTATACATGTCTGTTCTTCTGTCCAAGTATTTTTATACCCTCCACCTTAAAAAAGAGGTTCCGTTTTTAACATCCCTAAATATTGGTCATAGACCCCATAAAATATATATTCATAATCAGCATAAAATTGTAAGCCGATTTAGCGATGCCCGTCTGTCTGTCCGATCACGATACAGCCCACATTATTTGACGCAAAGCTTCAAAATTTGGCAGAACAATTTGCATTGTGCCTAGGATGGTTAGTATTGAAAATGAGATATATCAGTCCGCCTTTTGGTATAGTCGCCATATAACGGTACCTCCCGATTTTCGATATATTAATGATTTTCGCCACATTTTTCCACGGATTTGCCTAAAAATTGGTATTCGTAGATCATAATGGGTTCTAGCTCCGATACCACCGATATTCGATATTTTGATAATCCAAATCAAATTATCACTGTTTCAAATTTGGTATTTAAGAAGATTTGGAAGATGAAAATCTTTGCAGCATAAAATTGTCTATAGAGGTTCCCGCTTTTGTATGACCCCCATACAACGTCCTCACCCAGTTTATGGTTTTTTGAAAAGTTTAACAACGGTCTTACTGGCATTTGTAGTTTAAAGTGGGAATTCAGTGAATTCAGGGCCAAATTAAATTATTTTTTTTTAATTTTTAAATTATTGTACTACATTGTCGGCTATAAAATCTACATGTTTCAATTCTATGACAATCCATTCTTAATACCTAATCAGGAGTTGCTATCAAAGCAAGGTTATATGCAAATGATTTAAGATTCACAGATATAATATATTTTATTAATTTTAACGCCACATAGATTTTGAAAATGTCCCTCGATACACGTTTTTACAAAATAATCACTCAACATCGTAATTGTTTTTTTTACAATGTACACAATTTTTTAAAGCTTTTATCAATTTATTCATTTATTATCTACAATAAATACCACTTTTTTTGTGTATTTCCAGGCTGAATATGTATGGGTCAAATCGCAACAGGTTGCAGATAGTGAATTTGCAATCCCCTTTGGAGCACGTGTCGTTCGCACAGATAAAAATCGTACCCTAGTTACCGACGACTATGGCAAACAGTATTGGGTACAAAATGCAGATATTGTCAAGGCAATGCATTTGACATCACAAAATGGTGTTGAGGACATGATAACGTTGGGCGAACTGCAAGAGTACACAATACTGAGAAATCTGGAAATACGCTATAAACAAAAGAAGATTTACGTAAGTAACAATAATTATTGTTTTGTGAAATTAATCTTTTTGTGAAAATACAACGGTGGAATGATTAGATCAAAAATGCCATAGCTTTGGAAAAGGAATGGTATCTTTCTGAGTGATAATTCACGGGGGTTTTAAATGGTGGTTTTTCATAGAAAGAGGTAATGTTATGGATGGTGAATGAGTAATAGTTGTTTTTTTTGTGTCTACTCCGAAAAAAGTACTTCTGTAGTTTGAGGAAATAAAAATATAATAAAGAACGATGCGAAGAGTCATAACAATTATTATTGTTTCAATTGTCAGGGAGAAAATCGTGTCCAGTGTGTTTTGTTTGCTTCTCACTCAACACAGCACGCGCAGTAATGGACTTATTGAGAGGAGAGTTTGATGAACTTCTTATTTCACGTTCCGGATCTGTCAGTTGGCCTCCGGTATTCGGCATTTTAACGCTTTTAGACAATTTCTGGTGAGGCAATGTTAGTGCCTTATGTCTATACAGACGAAAGCGTTTTAATTGAAGCATTCGAAGACAATTTATTCGTGAGATACCGGCCGAAAGAGTGTGCCAAAATTGGGCAAAGCGGGCAGATCCACATTTCGTCTCGTGATTTGGGTATATTGAAGGTTTCTTAGACATTTTCAACCAAATTTGCTAAAATTTTGATTCTCAATGATAAAATAATGAAGGTCCATCCACTATATGTCCTAGCTCCCACATTTTGAAGGTTTCGCCCTCAATTGTCAATGGAATCAGCCGTCATTTGATGTTTCGGGTTCTTATTGGGCAGCATTTCTACTGGGCAATAAATACTTTGTATAGGTTCGGCATATGCTTTAGTCGCCATGTAACCTTCAAAACCTCCAATTCTTTTCCTCTTTTCCACTGGCAATTTTTTATACCCTTCACCATAATATGGAGGGTATATTAATTTTGTCATTCCGTGTGTAACTCATCGAAATAATGATCTTAGACCCAACAAAGTATATATATTCTTGATCAGCGTACAATTCTAAGACGTTTTAGCCATGTATGTCTGTGTGTCTGTTGTAATCACGCTATCTTTCGAACGAATTGAGATAGAAGGCTAAAATTTTGCACATGTTTATTTTGCGAGTAGGCAGGTTAAGTTAAGTAAATGGACCATGTAGGCCCACGTTTTCATATAGCCCCCATACAACGGTACCTCCCGATATTCGGTATTTTGATGATTTTAGCGACATTATTCACCGGAATTGTTTCAAGTTTGGTGTTTGAAGTTCGAAATGGTCTTCTAGGTCTTCGTATAGGCCCCATATATCAATACCTCCTTATATTCGGTATTTTAACGATTTTAGGTACAATACTCACCGAAATTGTTTGAAAAGTCGTATTTGAATTTCATAATGAAAGCTACAGCCTGTGACAGAAAATTGTTTATTGGCTACATTATTCACCGTTTATTTCAAGTTTCGAAATTGAATATGGTAATGGCTTGTGACAAACAATGACTATGTAGGTGCACGTTGTACAGGCCCTAATATAACGGCTATATTCGATATTTTTAAAATTTTAACAGAATTTGTGGCAAATGTTATCTTTTTCGAAAATTTTCTAATTCGTTCTAAATAGTGGAGAGTATTCAAAGTTCGGCCAGGACGAGCTTACTGCTTATTTACTTGTTGCCATTCTTGCTGTTCCTATTTATATTTTCCAGATGATGTCTCTGTAATTTAATACTTAAGAAAATATAGACAAATTCCTGGCAAAAATTGTCTAGAGTAGTCCACCATTTTCGAAAACCCACTGCATTATGGGTATTTTAAATGTTATATCTGTAATTTCTCGAATTTTTAAGAGACTTTGGCATCTGTCCCAAATTTTTAGGGATTTTCAGTTAACCGACCTTACATCTATCTATATATATATAAAAGAGAAGTGAAATAAGAGATCCAACGCCCATACGAAACGGCTCAAGCCAGGATATTAAAATTTTGCAAAAGGATCAGTCAAGATGCGTAGGCGTGTGATAATCGAAGTCGATTCAGATTAGGATATAGCTCCACAAATATATTTATCTGATGTCAGGTTTATTATGCATGAAATGGCTAATATCAGCTCAAGTGGACTGAATTTTGGCATCTACGACTGAATTCAATCGGTTCAAATATAGCTATAGCTCCTATATATGGTTTAACCGATTCGGATCTGGTATCAATGATCTTTGGTACCAGATATCAAATACAGCTTTGAAATAAGTGCATCAAATTTTGTCAAGATCGGTTCAGATTTGGCTATGGCTCAAATATGAAGGGATAGGTCTGGAATCCTGAAATTTGATGAAGATGTCCATGTTGGTGTCTGTGGTTAAGACTTGGAGGTGGTTTTGGAAATGTGTACTATAATTGTCCGAAAAATACTAAATGTTACTAAATGTGGTATTGATTTAATGTATAGAGTTGAAATCCCGAAATTCGATATTAAGGTATCTCTTGGTATCTGGTGTTGCTTTCGTAAATACGTACTGTTATAGTTTATAAATTATAAATTTTGGCAATTCGCTTTGATTCATATATCTCCATATGTGAATTAAGCACTGCAGTAACAACCATCCTTGGTGTTCGTTTTAATCCAGCTCAAGAATTTGGTAACACGAGCATAAACACCGGGAGCATTAGCCTGGCCGCAGCCATAGCCAAATGAAACAACACCTAACAGGCAAAATAGAACATTATTATAAAAACAAAAAAATTCAATTAATCTCCATTTTTCCAAATACATACCAACCAATGCGAAACGACCATCGTTAACCATCAATGGACCACCACCGTCACCTTGACAGGCATCCTTGCTTGGAAATAATTGGAACGCTGGCTTCTTGCAAATTGTTCGATGTTTGACCACCCTCCAATAGACCCCAACCGGCAACAATCGCATTTTTGCCATCAAAGGTTTGATTTGCATGTGGCAAACATACGGGACGAATTTCGTCATTAAATGTTACAGGGGATTCCAATTTCAACAAGGCAACATCATTGGCAATTGTATTGGGATTATATTGGGGATGGACAATGGTGCGGGCAACCTGAAGAGGAGAAACATATGCAAAATATTTAGTAAACAAACCAGTTTTAAAATTTTAAATTGATAACCATTCCGTATTCAGAAGAGATGAGCAAATATTTTTCAAGAAAAATCACAATAAATTCTCATAGAAGGTATTAAAATCTTCTCAAAGCAGATATTACAATATTTTTGAGAAAGATCAGAAGATTTCAAGATTAGGTAGATCCTCTCAAGAAAGTTCTTTAGACCTTAAGAACCTCCAAGGAAATCTTCTTTAGATCTTCTCAAGAAAGGCCTGAAGATATTCTCAAGGAAGGCCTCAGGATCTTCTCAATTAAAATCTCAAGATCTTCTCGGGTAAAATCTGAAGTATTCCTCAGGGAATATATCAAGATTTTGTCAGAAAAAATACTATACCTTCTCAAGGCGGGTCTCATGATCTTCTTAGGGAAGATCCGAAGATCGTTTCAAAAAGGATCTCAATATCTTTCCAGTGATGATTTCAAGAACTTCTCATGGAAGATCAAAATATATGTCCAGGGATGAACTTCTCAGAGAAGATTTCAGGTTATTCTCAAGGAAAATTTCAAGATCTTCCTTTGTAAGAGTTCAAGATATTCTCAAGGAATATCCCAAGAAGATCTTCTCAAGGAATATCTCAAGATCTTCTCAAAGAAGTCCTCAAGGTTTTTAACTAAAATCTCAAAGTAATTTCTATGTGAAGATTTCAAGACTTTTCCAGGAAAATCCCAAAATCGATCGCGGAGTCCTAACAAAAAAGATCTGCAGATCTTCCCAAGGAAGATTTCAAAATCTTTTCAATGAAGATTTCAAGACCTCTGCAAGGAAGATCTTCTCGTGGAGCATTTCACTATTTACTCAGTTGGTCTTCGGAGACATTTCGAGATATTCTCAAGATAATATAAAGATCTTCTCAAAGAACATCTCAAGACTTTCTCAAAGAATATCTCTAAAACTTCTTAAGGAAGATCTCATAATCATCTCAAATAAGGTTACAAAATCTTTTCTAGGAGCGTCTCAAGGAACATCTCAAGATCTCAAATAATTTTTAAGAAAATATTTCGATTTTTTTAAAGAAGATCCATTGATCTTCTCAAGAAGGATTTCTAAAGTTCCCAGAAAGATCTATAGATCTTATTAAAAGAGTTATCTAGAGAGATACCCAATGATTACTGTTATGATTTCTCACCTTTCTGGTAATGCCAGGATCCCGGGATAATCTGTCCAATTGTAATAAGCGGATTGTTATCTCATCACCATTACCGTGGACACAATGGGCAGCAGTCAACACATAGCGATCATTAATCAAAGAGCCACCACAGAAGAGACGCGGATAATGGCGACCTTTTACCAACTGGGCTGTCCAGGGATATTTGTTTTGGCGAACATGTGTGCCACCAACAATGCGTTTGCCGATTGATGTACCACAAACTAAAGGAACAATCAAAGGAAACACAGACATGAAATTAAAATTATTATTTGAGAAAAAGAGACATTTTTACAGGGCTGTGTTCAGGCGCTCGATACTTACAGCATTGGCTTTTGCAGTTGTTGCGTTGAGGCTTAGCGTTGCCAAAACCACTCTCGCCAATATCAGCATCAAAGGCACTGAAAACTTGATCGAAGCTCTCTGCCGCGGTTTCATCGAAACGTTGCACTTCGACCGTTTGAGCTGCTGCCTCATAGACATATTGTCTCTGGACGGATACCCAAATTAGAGTGCAAACTACCAAGAATTTCATTATATTTTACTACAATTTTTAGAAAAAATATTGTTTTTTCACAAAACTGAGCTCTTTCACGTGCCCAGTTAAAATGTTTGCATTGGAAAACGCTTTGTGTCTTTTTATAGGTTTGATTTTTTATTGATTGAAATTAAATATTTGTATCGCTTGCTATATTCTATATTTGCTATATTCCCATATATGTGCTTTCTGCCCCGTAGTTGTTGGTTGTTCTTTTGCCAACAACAATAGCAATGAAATAAAGTCAATGCTTCAGGTAATGCGAACGACCGTAAAGTATCTGTTTGGGTGTTTGTTTTCTGGAGCGACGGGCAGGGTTTAAAAGCCAACACCTATTGAAATTAGCTTTAGCCTTACAGTTCCGCCACGGCTAAAATAGCACATGATCTGTTATTTAGCTCAGCGCATGGCCATGTAGCTCCCGTGTAGGAAACCAGTACAGTGCAGATAAGCAATGCTTTTCTTATATCTTCAGCCATATGGCTAGAAAGGGTATATATAATCTGATACGACCAAAACGTGCCTCATCGAAATAACGGTTTTAGACTCTAGGTCTCTTTGGACCAAATGAGTTTCAGGACATTTGGAGTCGATCTAGCGTTGTCTGTCCGTTCGCCTGTCTGTCTGGTGCGCACGATTACTCTCGAAAGGGGTACCCGATTTAGTCCAAACTTGGTACATGGTAATATTATTATCAAATTTTAGATCGAATTTGGAGATGGAAAAATCGGCCCACTCCTTCTTGTATCTCTCCAACAAAAGTTGGAAATTTTCAAAAAAAAAAGAAAAAAATGTAAAAAGGCTGTATGTCCGGCTGCGCCGAACTTTGAATACCCTCCACAATTTGGTACAAATTTAACAATTTTCAAAAAAAAAAAAAAAATAAATAAATAAATAAAATCCGTTAAAAATTCTCTTAAAATCTTAAAATTACCAATAATATAATACCTGCATAGGCAACTTTTGTCACAAGCTATTCCAATATTCAAATGCGAAACTTGAAAAAAATATGTTTATAATGTAGCTAAAATCATCAAAGTTTTGAATAAACAAAACGATTATAAAATCGGAAATAAGCTTCCGGATCTCTGCAAATTTCACACATCCCACTATCTCTACTAACACAAGATCTTCTGTTAGGATGGGATATATCGGTCCACTCCTTCTGGTACCTCCCCCACAAGGGATCAACATTTCGAATATCCATGAAGCTTATGAAACGCGAAATTAACAATCGATTCCATTCGGACTTGCTACATCTCAATATTTCCATGGACACAAAATCTACCCATCTTAATGGTAGACATTGGAACATTTTTTCTGGTACTTCCCCCACATGGGGTTCAAGATTTTAAAAAGCAAAACGCTCAAGGAAAGCGAAATAAATATCCAACTCTCTTCAAATTTGACACATACAAACATTTTTGCTAACGCAACCTCTGTTGTGAAGATGATATATATCTGCGAACCCCTTCTGGTATATCACCCAAAAAGGGTTACAATTTTCAATACTTTTAACTGTCATAACTTGCGAAATAAGTCAGCTATACTTTCCAACTCGCTATATCTAAATATTTCGCTCAATTTTGTGATTTCGATTTTGATAGAATGTTCGTACCAGGTAGAGTACCAGCCGATAGATGTAATGGAAGTATACAGCGTCACCGCCCGGACGAAACGACTGAAGCTAGTATCATGATAGTTAAGATTAATGATTGTATCTGTGCTTGATATTTGGTGGAGGTTTTGGAAATGCGTCCTATATTCGTAGGAATAGTACTAAATGGTACTAAATTTGGTATTGGGTGAACAGATAGTGCTTAAATCTATTAAGAGGTCGCTGATTATGTGTAGACTGGTAGACTGGAGGTGGTCTCGGAAATATGTATTATAACTGTAGGATGATTGCTGAATAGTACTATATTTGGTATTGGGTGAAGGGATAGAGATAAAATTCTGAAATTTAATATTGAGGTTCGTATTGTTACCTGGAATGGATATATGGAGGTGTTTATGAAAATGCATACTGTAATTGTACGAAAAGTATTAAATAGTACTAAATTTGATGTTGGGTGAAGGAAAAGAGCTGAAACCCCGAAATTTGATAATGAAGTCTCTCTGAGAATCTGGTGTTGAATTTTGGTGTTTGTTTTATAAATGCAGAAAGTACCGAGTGGTTCTAATTCTGGATCACTGATGGTGTCTACGATGGAGAGATGTAGCTTATTTTGGATATGCGTACTAAATTGTACTAAATTTGGTATTGGGTGAAGGGATAGAGTTCTAGGGTTTACATGTGAAAACGGTGAAATAGTTTTGGACAGAAAAAATTAGATGTGAGTCCATTGTTCAATGGTTCAACTAATATCCTCCTCCTCCAAATAAACTTCAAATGGAAGATTGTGAAGACTCTTTGGTGTAAAAAGTAACCATTTTTCTATTTTTTTATTATTATTTCCGGAAAAGGAACCAGTAAGAAAAGGTCAAAAGTGAGGCGGTGACGACTAGTCAGGCGGTACCGACCCTAAGCCACTATGCATATTTAGAAGAGCTCCCGTTACAAAAAGTGTACATGGGGAATTTATGTAAAGTAGATCATACCAACTCTGAACCAAATAACATTGCTGTATGGTGCATGATATGACTTCGATAAGGATTATATTAAAGAAAATATTTATGGGAGCAATATATATACCGGATCGAGTTTCGCCGGTTGAATATGAAAATATTTATTCAATTTGGGCTGATATTACATATATTGTGATAAATAACCGTTAAATCGTATGAAGATTCTTATCGGAGCTATATATAAATCTAAATCTTTTGGCAGAGGTATTTTTGAGCTTCATAATTTATCTCGTACCAAATATCATTCTTGTGAAGTGCATATTACGCATGTGAGGGACTTAAAACCCCAAATCGGCTGAAACATATATATGGGAGCTATAGTTATATCTAAACCGATTTTCTCCAAATTTGATTTACTTGCTTCTAGACTGAATTCGGTCGGATATGCCAAAGTTCAGGTCATTTGGACTGATATTGGTCATTTAGTGCACATTGGGGTCTTCAGCGAATACTTAGAGGTTGTAGACAAATTTAATGTAACTTACATTCCATGGTGTGGGGTATTAAAAAATCAATATATCCCTTATGTAAATCTCATTTGAAATAGTTTTGACTTGGGTCTAGCTAAAACTAATAGCGAGTTTTACGTTTTGAAATACCATAACTTTATATTTATATTTACCATACTTCAAACTTATATCTAATCAATTTCTTTTCTCTTTGCAGACCTACACCGGTTCCATGTTGGTTGCCATCAATCCCTACCAGGTCCTGCCCATATATACGAATAAGGAAATCAATGAATATCGAGGCAAGAAAATCAATGAATTGCCTCCGCACATCTTTGCCATCAGTGACAATGCTTTCCAGGAAATGCGACGAGAAAAAACCAATCAGTGTATTGTAATCAGTGGCGAGTCGGGTGCTGGCAAAACGGAGAGTACAAAGCTAATACTTCAATATTTGGCCGCCATCAGCGGCAAACATTCATGGATTGAACAACAAATTATTGAAGCCAATCCCATAATGGAGGCATTCGGCAATGCCAAGACAGTACGCAATGATAATTCCTCCCGGTTTGGCAAATACATAGAAGTTCGTTTCACGGAAGCGGGTGTTATACAGGGAGCAAAAATCGAACAGTACCTACTGGAGAAGTCGCGTATTGTCTCACAGAATCATGACGAACGAAATTATCACATTTTCTATTCAATGTTGGCCGGTCTCAATCCTGAGGAACGTAAACGTTTACATCTGCAGGAGCAGTCACCGGCTAAATATCATTATTTATCGCAGGGTGGTTGTTACAAACTGCCCGGCAAGAATGATGCCAAAGATTTTTCTGATATCCGTTCGGCAATGAATGTTTTGTCATTCAGTGCCGAAGAGCAATGGCAAATTTTTAATTTGCTAGCAGCTGTTTTGCACTTGGGCAATTTGGGTTTCAGGGCCACCGAGATACGTAACATGGAGGCGGCTGAAGTCAATGATCCAGACAATGCTGCACGCGTTTCATCGCTGCTGGGTGTGTCCACAGAAATTTTATGTGAAACACTCACACAAAAGACAATGATAATTCATGGAGAACATGTGGTCACTAGCCTTTCGAAGGATTCAGCCCTAGAAGGACGTGATGCTTTTGTCAAAGCCTTGTACGGTCATATATTTGTGCATATCATTAAACGCATCAACGACACTATCGACAAGAATCCTGTGAAGAACATTAATACCATTGGTGTACTGGATATATTTGGTTTTGAAAATTTCGAGGATAACAGCTTTGAACAGCTGTGCATTAACTATGCCAATGAGAATTTACAACAATTCTTTGTGAAACATATCTTTAAGGTGAGTAGTTTCAATTTTTATATTTTGAAATATTAAGACCTGATGAACTGCATTAAAACTAATTAAGACTGATTGAGTATATATTCCCTCAGCAATATGGCTGCTGAGGGTATATAATTTGATGCGGACAAATGCTGTGATGCGAATGCCTTAGGTCTCTTGGTACAAAATCCTCTTCGGGACAATTGTAGTCGATAAAGGTTGCGTCCTTTCGAATGTTTGTCCGTTCGTCTCTCTAGCTGGGGCGCATAATAACTGTCAGAGGAAATGTTCGATTTTGTGCAAACTTGCTACATCTTTATATTTTAACCAAACTTAAATCTAATTCCTACATATTCCTACTGGCACGTCCCCCACAGAGGTCAAATTTTCCACAGAAAATAATTTACCTCATAGAACAAAAAATTATCATCCAAATTTGTTTAAACTTTGGATAGGGCTGAAAATTGAAATTTGATATGAATGTCACTGTTGGTGTCGGTAGTTAAGAGACGGAGGTAGTTTTGGAAATATGTACTATAATTGTTCGCAAAATTCTAAAAGGTTCTAATTTTGGATAACTGTGGAGAGATGTAGATTGGTTTGGATATGCGTACTAAATGTTACTAAATATGGTAATGGATGAATAGCTTTGGTGTAGAGCTTAAGTTTTGAAATTTGATATTGAGCTCACTGCTTTCCAGGGTTTAAATTTGGAGAAGTTAAAATAGTTTTGGGCTGAAAAACTGGATGGAGGTTCACTGTGTCATGGTTTTACTAATACCCTCCTCGGTAAACTTAAAAATGAAAGATTTTAAAGACTTTTTTTATAAAAAGTAAAAATTTTCCTATTATTCTTTTCGGATATGGAAAAACTTTAATAATATATAAAACCTTGAAAGCCTGACAACTTAGTAGGGTGTATAAGTTTTGATTAAACAAGTTAAAAAGTATCAGTCGGTTTTGGCGACAGATGTATACCCTCAGCCAATGTTTGATTATCTAAATATATTTTGACCTCCTTAATCTTTATTCAAGTTGCTGACCCTCTATGTCCAATTCACATCGGACCTAGATAAATATGATATAAATATTGCGACATGCCGGACTTGGACTATATTGGGTACTTCCTTCACTTTATATGAGATATGTGATAATATTTAGAAAATGTTAAGATGTGCGTAAGGTACCAGAAAAAAGGTGAGATGAAAAAACTGCAACCAACTTCAGACTGCTGTCATTTCTAAGCCACTCGTCCGTCATCAGTTAAAATTATCCCAGTGACAGCTCTTTATATTGTTTACAAGCGTACAAAAGCATTTTAGTGAGAATTTTCCAGAAAATAAGATATTCGTGATGAAATTCAAGCGTGATAGTGTGATTTCTTTATATTTGGCTGGAAAACCCCAAGTGGCTACGGTTAGAGCACTCCAGCATTTAAATCTTTTGTGTCTCGTACGTGTGTCGCTCGTTAGCGTGATACTGGTAGCGTAGCTAGACGTCAAGGAAGTGGACGGAAGGAAACAGCAACATCAGCAGAAATGGTTCGAAAAGTAAAGAAGCGACTTGATCGAAACCCGCGTCGCAGTGGCCGAAAACTGGCTCGAGAGCTGAACATATCGCAATATTCAATTCGGCAAATATTGAAAAATGAACTCGGGGTAAATCCATTGAAATTCCAAAAAGTACAAGAACTTATACAAGAACAGAAATAAAATAGACTCAAAAGAGCTAAAGAGTTGCTTCGTTTGACCGAAAGTGGTGAACTGCCGAATTTGGTTTTCCCCGATGAGAAAACATTCGTTGTCCAGCAGTTTGTAAACAAATAAAATGATCGTGTTTACTTGCCAAAGAGAATGTGCACCTTCGGTTGGCCACCAGAACTCAAGCGTCGTCCATGGTGATGGTGTGGGCCGCCATAACAGCCGGTGGTCGCTCTCTGCTCGTATTAATCGACCATGGCATCAGAATAAATGCGAAAATATTCAGGAGGATGTATAAAAGCCTTGGACACGCAAACTTTTTGGCCGTAGACCTTGGGTATTCCAACAGGACTCAACACCATCGCACTCAGCACGCGCCACCCAAGAATGGTTACAAAATGAGGTTACTTGCTTCATTTCCAGCGCACAATGCCCACCAAAATCTCTGGATACCAATCCTTCTGGAGTATATTGTGTATGGAGTATATTGGAAAGCAAGGTTGCAACTAAAAAATACCAAAGTGTCGATCAACTCAAGAATGGGTCAAAATACCGCAGAGCAACTTTCGGAGAGCGTGTTACGGTTTCATTGGCCGTTTGAAGGCCATAATTCGTGCCAACGTGACCAATTCGAACAAATTTAAACTTATTCTAAAATTTGATGCTATTTCCAACATGTTTTGCTTGCATCCAATAAAATTAAAAAAAAATTAAAATTATGGCATTTGACTTTGTTGCAGTTTTTATACAAAGTACAGTTCGCATTTATTGCCCTATCCAGATTAAATTTTGAACAAATCATTTGTTTGGCCCAAGGACGAACCCTATTGAAATTGGAGACAATCGGTCAAAATTTAGATATAGCTCCCATATATATCTTCGTCCGATTTGCCTTTTATTGTGCAGCAAACGTGTAATATCAGTCCGAATAGTATGGAATTTTGCACGTACGATCAGATTGGACCTGAAAATAAGTATGCCAAATTTGATCGAAATCGGTTCAGATATAGCTATAGCTCCCATATATATTGTTCATCCGATTTGTTATTTTTGTCCTCCGCAGCCGTAATATCCACTCTGTAACAACAATATTTGGGGAAATATATCAAATACAGCTCATATATACATTTGCTAAATTTTATCGAAATCGGTTCTGGTTTGGATATAGCTCCTATATATAACTTCGTCCGATTTACTTTTGATTGTGCATCAAACGTCTAATATTTGCCCAAATTAGATGAAATTTGGCACTCTCGACCGAATTGAGTCTAGAAGCTAGTATGTCAAATTTGGTGAAGATCGGTTCAGATATAGCTATAGCTCCCATATATACTGTTCATCCGATTTGTCATATTTGTTACCCACAGCCATAATATGCACTCCGTAATATTCAGGGAAATATATCAGGGAAATATATCAAATACAGCTCAGAAATATCTTTGCCAAATTTTATCGAGATCGGTTCCGATTTGTATATAGCTCCCATATATATTTTTATCCGATTTCAATTTAATTGTGCACCAAATGGACAATACAAGTCCGAATTTAAAAAAAAAAACAAATGCTTCGGCATATTTAGTCCTTTGAACTTTAAATTATAATTATAATCATAGCGTGTATGATTGAATTCTCCCATAAAAACTTTTAATTGTTATGCGCAGCTCTACTAAATTAGCAAAGTGGTGTAGGGTATCATAAAGTCGACCCCGTCCGACTTTAAGACTTTCTTTACTGGTTTTTATCTGACCCAGAATATGGGAGGCATGTTCAATTCTGAAGCGATTCTAACTAAATTTGACGGAGATATTTTTATCTTTATTACCAAATAACATTGCTATAGAGTGCATGATATCACTTCGAGAAGGATTATTAAAAAACATATATATCCGAACCGAGTTCCACCAAATGGAAACGTATGTACCGAAATTCACTCCTTATATTAGCCATTATTGGCACAATAAACCTGAAATCGAATAACGGATATACATGGGAGCTATATCCAAATCTTAGCTCGATAAAATTAGACAATTGTTGTAAAATGCATATTACGAATTTGAGGGACGTAAAAACAAACTCGGATGATTTGGCGGAAGTATTTCTAAGCTTTATCTGATATTTGGTACCAAATATCACTTTTGTGGGGTGCATATTGCGAATGTAAAGACTTAAACACCAAATCGGATGAAACATCTATAGCTATATCCGTACCCATTTTCTCCAAATTTGATATACTTGCTTCTAGGCGGTGGTTTCGGAAACGTGTACTAAATGTGGAAACAGTTCGTACTAAATTTGAAACAGTTTGGTTCAGATTGAACGGAGGAAGCTGGAATTTTGCAATTTTGTATTGGGGTCCCTGTTGGTGGTAGATTTGTGATAACTCTTTATCAACTAAATCTGTTAGTGTGTAGTGTTGAGATTTAAGGTTGGTTTTACAAATTTGCTCTAAGAAAGTATGAAAAGTACATAATTGTACTAAATTTGGTATTTGGAAATTGGATATAGCTGGAAATCTGAAATTTGGTACCACTTTTTGTGAGGTGTGTGAAAGTCGATTTGAAAAAATGTACGAAAAGTAGTATATGATATTAAATTTGGTATTTAAGGAAGGGATAGAGTTGGAAATCTAATATTTGAAGTTAGGGCCTTTGATGTTATGTAGAATTGATGAACAAATAAGTGTAGCAAAACTACTAAAATGCACTAAGTTTAGATTAAAGTAAGATAGGAAGGATGTAGGGTTGATGTTAACTGTTAGTATAGAAAAATCTATTTCTGAGAAATTTTACAACAAGTGTACTAAAGTACTAAAGGTACTAAAGCATTTATTAGATGGTACCAAGAACTAGAATTGTAAACATTAGTATAGTATAGTGTATTCGAATCACTCTGAGTATGACGCGTCTAAAAACCTTCAAATCTGAAGGTACATTTACATGGGGGTTAAGCCAAATGGTGGACCAATGCGGACAATTTTTGACATAAACTGCAGCTGCTTTTGTTGTTGTTGTAGCAGCTCATACATATGTGTTCGTTTGGTTTCCATTTTCTGACTCAGTTCAATCCGGTTCTGCCTCTAAGTCCAGTCTCAAAAAGGATGCAACCTGTATGGGTTGAGTCCATAACGAGACTGGAGTTAGGTGAGTAGGCTTGGCTGGGCAGCGAAATAAATGCGGCGTGTCATGTGGGCCTGTGCCACATGCTGGGCAGATGTTCTGCACTTCGCCGTTGATCCGGGCCCAGTAGGAATTTAGGCGGCTGCACCATCCGGATCGTAATTGAGCCAAGACTACTCGGGTTTGTCGGGGCAGCTCTCGTTCTTCAGCTGCGACGGGAGGGGGATGGTCTCCTAGCACAGTATTCACTCTATATCCTTCAATGGCTTCTGAGACCGCATTAGAGTGAATACTATTCAGTCCCGCTTGATAGGCCTGTTGATCTAGAGGCTCTCTCTTATACCTCTGTACCTCTCTCTCTAGATCATGAAGGTCTTTCCTAACGTGCCTGGGCGGAGGTTGCCTATCCACAAGATGGTGATTTGGATGGCTTTGTCTATAACACCCAAGCAGGTATTGCATTGACAGCATTTTGTTATGCTGTCGCACCGGTAAGACCTTCGCCTCCTCATGTAGGTGATCGACGGGTGTCATGAGAAGGCACCCTGTTGCGGTTCTGAGGGCGGCATTCTGGCAGGACTGAACATTTTTCCACTGCGTAGCACTGACGTTAGCGGACCACACTGGAGCCGCATAGTTTACCACAGACCGGCCTATCGCGTTGTAAGAGGTCAACAAGGTCTCCTTATCAGCTCCCCAAGTACTGCCGGCCAGAGACTTGAGGACCTTGTTCCTACTTCTAATCTTGTCGCAGATAGCTGTGGTATGCGCGGACGACTTAAAGAGGCAATCGAATGTGACCCCTAATACCTTGGGGTAGTTGGTGGTCGGAATAATAGCACCATCGACCTGCACATTCAAGGATAGCCCCATCTCCGCAGTCCATGTGGTGAAAAGTGTGGCCGTCGACTTAGTGGCGGATATCTTCATATTCCTCGCAGTGAAAAAGGCGGTAAGATCAACCAGGTAAGCGTTCACCCGATCGCAAATGTCATGAATAATGGGTCCGGACGCCACGAGCGTACAATCATCTGCGTACGTAATAATCTCTATGCCGTCTGGAGGGCGTGGAATTTCAGAAAGGTAGAGGTTAAACAGTTCCGGAGATATCACCCCACCTTGGGGAACTCCCTGTTTAACTCTACGGATGCTCGACTTCTTGTTTCTGAATTCCACGTACGACTGGCGTCCACACATGTAGTTTACTATCCAACGTTTCAAACTTGGCCGGAGGGTGGTGCGTTCAATGTCCTCGAACAGTGTGGCGTGATTGACTGTATCAAAGGCTTTTGATAAATCAAGTGCCACCATAACTGTTCTATCGCACGGCCTGTTCTGGTTGAGACCTCTACTGACATGTGTGGAAATGGCGTGTAAAGCTGTTTTTGTGCTATGCAATTTTCGGAATCCGTGTTGATGATCGGCTACTGGGAAACACTCTCTTATGCTGGGGAGGAGTAAAGCCTCAAGCGTCTTTGCTACTGGTGACAAAAGTGATATCGGCCTGTATGAATCACTTTTGCTGGCATCCTTGCCTGGCTTCAGTAGCGGGACCACCCTGCCCATTTTCCAGGCATCGGGAACTACTAGGGTGGCTAACGACAGATTGAGAAGCTTTGTCAGATACTCAACTCCTGGTTCATCCAGTTGCTTCAACATCACCATTGAGATTCCGTCAGGACCAAGCGCTTTGGATGACTTTGCGCTTCTGATGACCTGTGCAACATCTGCCAACGTAAATTGTGGTGGTACCTCCTCGGCTGGAAGGGATCGTACACGGCGTAGTATCCTTCTCTTCGCCCTGTCACTCTCGGGGTGCTCTACAAACTGCCGGTTAAAATAACACGCGCACCTCTTCGGATCTGTCACTTCTACGCCGTTAAATGAGACAGATGTCCGATCGTCCTTTTTTCCAGGGTTCGAAAGCGACTTAACCGTTGCCCACAATTTACTCGTTCCGGTACCGATGTTGCAATGCTTCAGATGTTCTAGCCACTTTTTCCGCTTATGCTCGCCTACTAACCTGTTTACCTCCAGAGTAAGTTCCCTGACTCTGGGGTTATTAGGGTTAGTACGGCGAAGCTCATCTCGCTCGTTTGCTAATCCCGCTGCCTCTGCTGGGAAATTTGGTCTTATTTCAGGTATTCGACCAGCAGGTATATAGCGAGCGGCTGCAGCTTTGATGATGTCCCGGAAACACCTATCTGCTACCTGAACATCAGATGGGTTGGGCAGTTCTCTGAAGCGGCGATTGGTATACTCTCTGAATTCTTGCCAATTAGCTTTCCCGTGGTTAAGGAAAGTGCGGCGTTCAGAGTCGATGAAGTCGGGTGGTCTATTGATGGCGATAATAATGGGGAGGTGGTCTGAGCCTAGAGAAATGACTGATTGCCAAGTTACGTCATTCGTCAGACCTGGGGACACGATGGATATGTCCGGAGAACTGTGGCAGTCTCCCCTTATTCTGGTGGGCGCGTCCTCATTCGCTGTGCAAAACGTGGAGCTATCGATTTGCTCAGCCAGCGCCATGCCTCTCTGGTCATTACCTAGGACGGAATGCCATAATTCATGATGGGCATTGAAATCCCCTAGCACCAGACGGTTATTGCCTACCAGTAGTGAACTGATATTGGGCATATAACGTGGGGCACAGCTATTTAACGGCGGAATGTACACGTTGAGCACCTCTACCTCGGCGGTTCCACACTTGACCGCTACCCCCATACATTCCATGTACGGGTCACTAGAGTCAAGCTCAGGCGAGATAGGTCTGTACTGGACAGAGTGGTGCAATAGGAACGCTAATCCTCCACCTCCACCTCTGGAGCGATCCTTCCTCAGTACGTTGTATCCATCACAACTTTGAAGCCTGCAGGTGGTACTCAGCTTCGTCTCCTGGATCGCTGCGACCTTGATGTTCTTCCGACTCATAAAGCTTACAATTTCGTTGATCTTACCTCTGAGACCATCACAATTAAATTGGAGAAATGATGCATTGTCCGGAACTGCTTTTGTAGGAAGTTGAGGTGGGGATACATAATCAGTTTGCCATCGTTGCATGCCATATTAATGTCAATTCATAAGGGTAAATGACGACGGAATTCGAGCGCGACTATCCACTCATGTCATATTAAGTGATAGTCAAAGTCGCGCTCGAATTCCGTCGTCATTTACCCTTATGAGACAGGAGGATTTATGAAACCAAGTCACATAACCAGTTTAACTATAATTTAATTTAATAATTTCAGGAATTTTTTAAAGCCTATATATTTAAAATATATTGAAGTAATATCTCACTATGGTTATTCTTTTACAGATGGAACAATCGGAATATCAACAGGAAAACATTAGTTGGCAGCACATTGAATTTCAAGATAATCAAGATGTTTTGGATTTAATCGGCATGAAAGCGATCAACATAATGTCTCTAATCGATGAGGAATCGAAATTCCCCAAGGGCACTGATTTCACGCTTGTCGAAAAACTGCATGCTCAGCATGGTAATCGATCGATTTATGTCAAAACCAAATCCAGATCAAATACTCTGTTCGGCATTAAGCATTATGCCGGTGTTGTGATGTATAATACCCAAGGATTTTTGGAAAAGAATCGGGATTCGTTTAGTATGGATCTGAATACAATGATTGCCAAATCGAAGAATAAATTTTTGAAACAAATATTCCCTGTGACGGTGCCGTTCGATACGATTAAGAAACAGGTGACGTTGTCGGTGAAATTTCGTAACTCGTTGGAGTTGTTGATGCGTACTCTGTCGGCTGCCCATCCCTTCTTTATACGTTGCATCAAACCCAATGAGAACAAGCAACCGAATGTAAGTGAGAGAATTTTTTGAGAAAATATAAAATAATTGATTTATTTTTTGTTCTTTTTTAGCAATTTGATCGGGAGCTATGTGTCCGCCAGCTGCGCTATTCCGGCATGATGGAAACGGCCCGCATCAGACGTGCCGGCTATCCCATACGCCATACGTACAAGGAATTTGTGCTACGCTATCGTGTTCTAATGCGTGGCCTTGGCCCCCTGGACAAGGTGAACTATCGCCAAGTGACCGAGGATATTTGCCATAATGAATTATCACTGAAATCTGATCATCAATTCGGTTTGACCAAAGTCTTTCTCAAAGATTGCGATGATGTCATATTGGAGGAGGAAAGATCACGGGCCATACTCAAAGCCATCGTTACCATTCAGAGGGCGGTACGTCGCCTCATCTTCAAGCGTTATTTGGAGAAATATCGCAATGCTGCAATTGTTATCCAAAGAAATTGGAGAGCCTGTAAACCGCGCCGAGACTTTTTACTCATGCACAGAGGATTCCATCGTCTGGCGGCCAAAGTGCAATCGCGTCAATTAACCTACGATTTTGCCCAGCTGCGAAGACGTGTGACTTTGCTGCAAGCCCGTTGTAGAGGTTATCTGGCACGCAAAGAATTCAAGGCCAAATATGCTCAGCGTTTGGTTAAACTGAAAGAATTGCGAGCCCTACGGAAGCAGGAGGAGGAGCAATATCGCCGTGAAGGTGAACGTCGCTGGAAACAACATGCCGAGGATAATTATCAGAAACGATTGAAGGGCATTGATCCACTTCAAAAGAGTCCTGAGCCCAGACCACGCATCACAAATGGCCACGCTCGACCACAGGAAGATTTTAACAATAACAATTACATTGATGTCGAGTCATCAAAGAAGATTGTCGATGATGTCTTTGGCTTCCTCAACGATGCCGATGTAAGTGGCCCTGTGGGGCCGAATGTCAAAGAGAAATCGCAAATGTTCGAGAAAGTGTTAAGTAAACCTCGTATAATACCCACAAAACTGTTATCGCGTCCGGTAAATTATTACGAATCGACAGTGCCTCAACCTCCGCCACGCAAATATGCAAATCAGACACGTTTGTAAATAAATACAAAACTAGAGATAGTGCAATCTGTCGCCCCTTTCTCTCTTTCGCTCTTGCTCCCTGTATGCCGGGCAGTAAATGCATTTGGAAAAATTATCAGTTTTTTCTTTTCTTAAGCCAAATGAAATACTGATGAGGCCTTTCTCAAAGCCTTGACGATCGATTGGTTTGGTGGTTGGATGGTTGGGTTGGTGGTATTAAAAATTCATTTCATTTTGTGCCAGTATTTTCCGCTTTCCCACACACACACACAAGGCACTTAGCCAATCAGCTTCACCAGTAGTTTGCAATTCATTAATGTTTATTTTTGTAGCGATAAGTTTTTTTTACCTGTCTCCCTCCCTCTGCCGCTCCAGGATTATATGTTTTGTTAAATTATTTGTATAAATATTTATTTAAATTTATTAATTTTTAATTCTTTTTAATGTTTTGTTGTTATTCTTGTCAGCCACACAATGAAATTACCTCAAACCGATTATTGCAAAAAAAAAAAAAAATGATTGTATATTATTTATTGTAAATAAAATTTTATATATTTATGTCCATGACATGCTAATTGTAAAAAAAAAAAAACAAAATTGTAGTTTGTATTTTGTGTATGTTTTTTTCTGTGTGCTTTCGTTTTGGTATTGATTTTTTAAGAGAGAAACAAAATGAAGCTGCTTTGGCAACACTCTTAAAACAAACATAGGGATTTGTCTTTTTTGGCAAACACGAACTAACCCAGTTGTTTGGATTAACTGCTTCATTGTGTTTCTACCTTAGATGCCTTTGGTGGATGATCATGGTGGTGGTGGCGCTAGCTTTAATGCACAATTTGACAATGTAGTTTAGTTTTTCTTGTTATTTTATTTCATTTAATTTGTTTGTTTGCTGGCATTGCCTTACCATCACCAATCATTCAAACCAAGCGAGGAAATACGGTATTTACAAGCTACATATTTTTGAAAATTTGTATAATTTAAACGGCGCTCGCTTGGAGATAGTCCTCAAGCGTGATCTCAGTAAACTCAACTTCCTCCACACATACATTTGATGTTGTTCTATTTTTAGAGGTCCAGGGTGGACCCAAAAGGGACCAGATGAAAAATGGATTTGCATTAGAACAAATAAAAACAAACAGTAAGGAAAAGTCAAAAGTCGGGCGGGGCCGACTATATGATACCCCACACCACTATGCATATTTAGTGGAGCTCCCGTAACAAAATAATTTATTTCAAGTAGATCATACCACCCATCAACATTGGACTTTAAAACAGTTATAGTTTGCTATAGAGCGCATGATATCACTTGAAGAAAGGTTATATTAAAAAAAATATATATCAGAGCCGAGTTACACAAAATGTAAACGTACGTCCCGAAATTCACTCCATTTGGGCTGATTTAGCCACTATTTGCACATACAAGCTGAAATTGGATTAGGGATATATATTGAATCTATATACAAATCATAGCCAATATCGACAAAAATTTGGCAGAAATACTTTCGATCTCTATAAGATATCTGGTACCCAATAACATTCTTGTGGGGTACAATTGGATGAAACATATATATGAGAGCTATAGCTATATCTGAACCGACTTTCTCCAAATTTTATGTACGTGCTTCTAGTCTGAATTCGGTCGGAGGTACCACAATTCAGAACTTTTGGACAGATATTGGCCATTTGGTCCACAATTAACCCGAAATCGGTTGAGGATATATATGGGAGCTATTCCCAAATATGAACCGATCTTGACAAAATTTGATACACTTATTTCGGAGCTGTATCTTATATTTGGTACCAAAGATCATTGTTGTAGGATGCATATTACCTCTGTGAGGGACTTTAAACTCCAAATCTGATAAAACATATATACGAGGGCATAGCTATTTCTGAACCGTTTTACACCAAATTTGAAATACTGATTTATAGGATAAATTAAGTCGTAATTGCCAAAATTCAGGCCGATATTAGCCGTTTGGTGCACAATAAACCTGATATCGCATAAAAATATATATGGGAGCTATATCCTAATCTGAATCGATCGATCATTCTCCTGGAGTGCATATTACGCATGTGAGAGACTTTAACACCAAATCGGATGAAACATATATATGGGAGCTAAAGTTATATCTGAACCGAGTTTCTCCAAATTTGATTAGCTTGCTTCTTGATTGAATTCGTATTCGTGGGACGTACCAAAAAACAGGTCATTTAGACTTATATTAGCCATTTGGTGCACAATTAACCCGAAATCGGTTGAAGATATATGGGGCTATATCTAAATCTGATTCGATTATCGCCAATCGGATAATAAAAGCGACATGCTTTTTTCACAAAAATACATGGAAGGACTGACATGCATAAATCGACTCAAAAAGTGATTCTATGAAGATCCTCAAGAGTAACTAACTAACTAATGGGTCTAATTCGCTTCTTTCTCCATGTTACAACAAATGCACAAAGACATTATACCCTTACCGCTATGTGGTGTAGGGTATAAACAGATAAATTAGGTCCGCCCGAACTTTTAATATCCTATATCATATGGAAAAAAGGAAGACGTAGACATTTTTAGGTAATTTTCAATCATAGGATGTGGTACCCATTGCGAATTCCAAAATCTAAATTCAAAACAATTTCGGTATGGCTGAAGTCGTGAATATACGGAATGTCAGGCGATATCGTTATATGGGGGCTATGCAAAGACGTGGGTCTGTACATGCAATTTTCTGTAATTAGGGGCACCAACTACAACCTCTATATACCTGATTTGAAACATTCTTAAGGAAAAATGTGGCTAAAATTGTGAAAATACCGAATAACAGGAGGAACATTTATATGGAGGCTATACCAAAATTTTAGCCTATATGGACAGTTCTATGCAAGGATTTCTCCTGCAAACTGAGAGCACAAACTGGCAATTTAAAGCTAATTCGGGTTTAAATTTTGACTAAACCAACCATAAGCCCTTAATTCTGTGGCTACAGTTTTATGGGGGCTATACCAAAACTTGGACCGACCATTCTGAAATTCCAAGTTTAAAAAAATAAAAAAAATAAATGAGAATCTCCGGCAATGTCCATTCATAAAAATAAATATTGCCTCACTTTATGATTGTTAAAATATTTACGCCGGATGGTAGGAAGGAGTTGGCCAATATTTTCCGTTACACATGCCAGGTTTTGACTATATCGACCACTTCCTTCACTACGTGAGGTTTCAGATATAGTGGACCTATGTATTAATTTTCGTCTAATAGTAATAAAAATAATGGGAGTATATTTTAATGATGATCTAACATTTATTTCCAATTTTATACGAGTAGTTGTCAATCAAAATTTTAATCTTTTGTGAATAAGGAGTTTACATCAGAACTCATGTTGAGATAAATATTTCGATACTTTAAGAACACCTAATATGTTTCACAAGTTATGATAAATAAAGTTATTGAAATGTTTGACCCTTTGTGGGAGAGGTATCAGAATGAGTGGACCTATATATTCCATCTTTACGTCAAATCTTCTGCTGATAGAAATATTGGGATGTGCCGAGTTTGAAAGAAACTGGATGTTTTGACCTTGCGAGCTTCATGGTTTTTAAGAGTTATGATTATCCAAAATTTTGAAACTTTGTGGGGGAGGTGCAAGATGGAGTGATCCGATATATTTTATATTCCCACATGATCTTGTCTAATAGAAATATTGGAATTTGTGAAATTTGAAGATATTCGGATGTTTATTTCAAATTTTATAAGACTTTTAATTATTCAAAATGTTTACCCTCTGTGGGGAAGGTACATGATGGAGCGAACTGAGATTGCCCATCTCCGAACTCGATCTAAGTTTGATAAAAATATTACGTTGCCCCAAGTTTGAATTAAATCGGATACTCGCTTCGAAAGTTATCGTGTTCGCCAGCCAGACAGACGGACGGACGGACACCCCCCAGATCGACTCCAAATGTCCTGAAACTTATTTGGTCCAAAGAGACCTGGGATCTAAAACCGTTATGTCGATGAGGCAAGTTTTGGCAGTACCAAATGATATATATATAAATATCCTCTTTAGCCATAATGCTGAGAGTATAATAAAAATTGTGGCTTCAATCCCCAACAACAAAAAAACGGAAGAACCGCCTTATGAGTAATAAAAGAAATAATGAGTCTATTCCAGCAGTCCTCTGCCACAGAAGATAGAACCCATTAGAAACTCTTTATACCGAATTTTAAATGATTCCTCTGAAAAATCTGGCTAAAATCGTCAGAATACCGAATATCGGGAAATACCGAAACATAAGGGAAACCCGAGGATATATGGACAATGTTCTGCCACAGGAGGTGGGACCCATTACAAATTTAAGCAATTCCCTTTGAAAATGTGTCTTAGTAGGGTTGTATGAGAGTTATACGAAAACGCGGACCGACCTGCCTCATTCACAAACTTAACCTGAATTTTAGCCTTCTACCTCAATCATGTGGCCGCAATAGTGCAATATTTAGTATCTCTTTGCATGTCGAAATTCTAACAATAACATTGTACAAATTCTGGCTTCTGAATAACACTTTTGTTGCATTTAAGTATTTGTTACTTTTTGGTATTTAATACATTCGTATACCCTACACCTTGCTATGGGGTGTATATTAATTTTGTCATTCCATTCGTAATCCCTCACGTTAGGCCGAAGGCTTAATGCTGATCCAACATATAAAATCTGGCATGAGGGTCACTGAGGGTCTGAAGGTGTACATTATGGCACGTTACCGATCAGTCTCAGTTTTAAAATTTTATTGAATGAAAGAAAAAATGTCGGAAATAGCATTAAATTTTAGAATAAGTTTAGAC